TTCATTGCATTAGAAGTTGGGAATGGACACCCATTAGAGAATTCTGGAAACATCAATCACCCCACTGACCTTGATACTGAAGGGCTGCATAATGGAGCATGCAAAAATCTAACATGTTTTTGGTGATTCATCATCAATTCCCTTGTGAAAATTACCCCCATATGGCAGCAGAAATGATGTATTCCTTTCTTTCTAGCTTATTCTTTAATACAGGATCATTTTAGAACAGAGAATGCCAGTACTTGAAGGGGAATTAGAACACAGAGGGTTGGAAATGGAAGGACATTTAGGGCACATAAGATCAGAGCTGGGAGGAGTCTTAGAACACAGAAAGTCAGAGCTGGGAGGGGCCTTAGAGCACAGAATGTCAGAGCTGGGAGGGGCCTTAGAACACAGAATGTCAGAACTGGAAGGGGCTTTACAATATAGGATACTGGAGCTTGCAGAATATATAGTACTAGAGAGAAAAAGAACTTTAGAGTTGAACCAGCCCAACCAACTCATTTTATAGACGAGGAAATTGAAGCCCAGGGAGGGGAAAGTGATTTACTCATTGTCACACAGTTGGGAATGGAATGTGTTGACTGACTTCTAATTTAATGTACTTCTTCCCTACACTGACATTGGGAAATCATTTTCTTTTCTTTTTTAATTTAATTTTTTTGATAATATTTCCCCCAATTACATGTAAAAACAATTTTTAACATTTTAAAAAGTTTTAAGTTTCAAGTTCTCTCCCTCCCTTCCCCACCTTCCTTCCCTTACTGAGATGGTAAGCAATTTGATACAAATTATACATGGGCAATCATGCAAAACATATTTTCATATTAATCATGTTGTGAAATAAAACACAGACCAGACACACACATAAAAGTGAAAAATAGTATGCTTCAATCTGAATTCAGGTTTCATCAGTTCTTTCTTTGGAGGTGGATAACATTTTTCATCATTAATCCTTTGGAATTGTCTCAGATCGTTGTAGTACTGAGAATAGCTTAGTTATTCACAGTCGATCATTGTACAGTATTGCTGTTACTGTGTACATCATTCTCCTGGTTCTGCTCACTTCTCTTTGCATCAGTTCATATAAGTCTTTTCAGGTTTTTCTGAAATCTGCTCATCATTTCCTATAGCACAATAGCTTTTTGTCACAATCATATACCACAACTTGTTCAGCCATTCCCAAATTGACAGACCTCCCTCCATTGTCCAATTCTTTGCCACCACAAAAAGAGCTGCTAGAAATATTTTTGTACATATAGGTGCTTTTCTTTTTTCTTTGGTCTCTTTGGGCTACAGACTTAGAAGTGGTATTGCTGGGTCAAAGGGTATACACAGTATGCCCTTTGGGCATAGTTCCAAATTGCTCTCTAGAATGACTGGATCAGTTCAGGAAACCACTTTCACTATTAAGTTTTGAAAGCTAACATGATTCTCTAATAGCCACTTAGGTCTTTGCACCTCAATGTCCTCCAATGTCAAATGAAGGGATGAGACTAGATTGTCTTTAAGCCTTTTCCTACCTTGGACATTTCATGCTGTAAGGGCTCTCTCACCTCTGACATTCTGAGCTTCCATGATTCTAAGATAGTTTATACAGAGGTATCAAACTTGGGCCAAGCAAAAATAAAGATAATGTTAATTTGTGGCTTTTTAAGTCAATATGCAGAGCAGCTAGGTGACTCAGTGCATAGAGCACTGGGCCTGGCATCAGGAAAACTCCTCTTCCTGAGTTCAAATCTGTCCTCAGACACTTACTAGCTGTGTGACCCTGGGCAAGTCATTTCACTCTGTTTGTCTCAGTTTCCTCATCTGTAAAATGAGCTGGAGAAGGAAATGGCAAACCACTCCAACATCTTTGTCAAGAAAACCCCAAATGGGGTCATGAAGAGTTGGACACAACTGAAGAATAACGGAACAACAGCCACAGAGTCAATATGCAGCATTCCTTTTGAGTTTGACATCACTGGTCTATGAGTAAAGTCACAACCACACATAATAACAATAACACTTTGATGTTTCATGTCTGGTCAATGGGGCCATCTCTGTGGGTTAACTGCAAGAGGTATATGGCCACATATGGGCAGAAGTCACCCCCAGACTCAAGAACTGGGAGCTCATTTTCACTGGTGCCTCTTTTATTGGGGGACTCATTGCTGAGGGTGGTTGGGGGGGAAAGGACAGCACAGTGACTCTGCTGCATCTAGGGTAAGGCTAGGAGACAAGCTGAGCAAATAATCGTCACCTCCTAAAGCTCAAGATTTCTTGTCTCTACTCAGTTCACAAATTTAACTCAAAATTTAAGTGCCTTTTAATTTGACTTAATTAAATTTATGTGCAAATGCATTTGGCTAAACACTGAGGAAACGAAGATAAAGATTTGTCTTCAAAGAGTTTAAGTAAAATCATGGGTGAATAATCAGTCCCATCCACTCTTATAGCTCCAAACATCACTTCCGTGGAGCTGATTCTATAGCTAGATATTTATCTTCTTTGAGCTCCAGACCCACATCTCTAACTTCCTGCTGGACAGTTCCACCTGTGTAACCTGTTGGCACCTTCATGGAAATGCATCACATTCAAAATTGGCTTCATCACTTCCTCCAACTCCCGAACTTCTCTGTTAATGGCACCACCACCTTCCCGTTTGTTATAGGCAGGAAAACCTTTCATTTTTCTGGACTCGTCTTTCTCTGTTTGGCAGGCCGTTTATTCCACAGACTCCTCCTATCTGGTACCCTCTCCTACTTGTCTTGCTCCTTCTCTGAAACCCTCTTCCCCCATATTTGGAAAATTCTATTCTGGGTTAAAATCTTCCAGTTTCCTAGCTGATTGGATTCCCCTCTCCTCACCCCAAACCTCAGGGATAAGAAACCAATCACATCTGCCAGAGCAGACCCTTCTCCTCCTCATACAACATCTGAGCCATTCTGATTCCCAAGGTGTTTGAAGTGCCCTAATGCACGGATCCCTGAAGGAGTCCTAGACTATTAGGAATTCCTACCATTGCCTTGAAGAGCATGATGCCTAAGGTTCCCTGGCAACATCCCTGTTGTTTTCATTTGCAATGTGGCTAATATGGAAATATGTTTTGCATGACCTCATGTGTATAAATAATCAGTATCAAACCACTTGACTTCTCAAGGAGGGGGAGGCATAGGAGGGAGGAAAAGAATTTGGAACTCAATATTTTAAAAAAATGAATGTGAAATTTTTTACATGTAATTTAGAAATATTTAACAAAATAAATAGAATTTTATTTAAAACAACAGCCCTGCCCGAGACATGAAAGGGCTTGTTGCTCTCTACCATGACTAGCTCATCTGATTCTTTTGAAAAGCCCCTTTAATCTCAGCACCAGCCTCTGACAACATTCCTCCAGTCTCAAAGGCTCATTATCATCACAGACTCTTTCCTTGGTCCTGAACATCCAGGCAGTTGCCAGCCCCTGTCAATCCTACTTTCTACAAAATCAGCTCTCTCTTTTCTTCCTCTAGTACACAGCCTCGGCCACCTCTGGCATGCACAATGGCAGCAGCCTCTGGACTCAGGACTTTGGCCTGGTCTCAATCCCTTCTCTTCCTTCCCCAGCCCTCCAATCCAGCCTTAATGCAGCTGCCAGGGAGATTCTCAAAACACAGGTCTGACTCTCTCCCTCACTATTCCTGTGCCTTCTCCACCAGTCAGCCCAACCTTATTTCCAACCTGGTTGTCCTTGCTGTCCTACTTTGCTGTTTTCCAGTCAAGCTGGATTACCTGTTCCACCCCCTCCTCCTCATCTTTCCCTTTTTCATTACCTCTGTGCCTTTGCAAACCTGAACTGGTCTCCCCTTTATCTTGGTCTGCTGACTTCTTTCCCTTCTTTCAGGGCCTGGCTCAGGCTTCCTAGATCTTTTCCTGATTTCCCCTCCCCAACCCTCTTGAAGTGAACGATCTCTTCTTTCCAATCTCTCAGTCCATTCTCCTGTGCACTTATTTACCTCCGGACTTGTACTGGAGTTATTTGTGAACTTGTCATTACTCCCCCCCCTCCCCTCCCCAGACTGTAAAGTTCTCGAGGGCTTCTTCTGTCTCATTTCATGTATGGTGCCCAGCACCTACCTAGCACAATACCTTGCAAACAGGATATTAATAATAATAGCTCACATTTATATAGTTATTTATGTATATTATCTCACTTGATCCTCACAACAACCCTGTGAGGGAGATGCTATCATTATCCTTATTTTACAAATGAGGAAACTGAGGCTCAGAGAGATTCGGTGACTTGCCCTGGCTGACAGGGTGAGTGTCTGCGTTGGGGCTGGGACCCAGGGCTTCCTCATTCCTCAGTACAGTTTCTGCCTTGCTTCACCTTGATTTAAGACTGAAAGAGAAGTCAGAGTACCTCTAGTACATGGGTTCTTAACCCAGAATCTCTGAATTTGTTTTATAAAATAATCTTTTGATGACTGGATATAAATATAATTGGTAAGAATAAATCACTAGCCCACGGTAGCAAGAGACCAAGGCAGGACTCGAACCCAGATACTCTGTCTCCAAAGCTAGAGTTTTGCACCAGGTAGCCTGCGACTGTATACGCTGAATTAGTGTTTGTCAGTCAGTCAATGAGCATTTATTACGTGTCCTATGTGCCGAGTACTTTGCTAAGCCCTAGGGATACAAAGAAAGGCAGAAAGTCCCTGCTCTAGAGGAGCTCACAGTCTAATGCGGAGAAAACATTCAAACAACTAGCTACAAACAAGAGGTATATAGGATAATTTTGGAGATAATCAATAGATCGAACGCAGCCCCACGTTGCTCGCCACGCTGCACCAGGGCCAGTTGGGAGCGGGGGTCTGGTCTGCCAGGCTGATGCAAAGTCCGCCCCCGCAGCCTGGCATCTGCCCACGTGGTGCACCACGTCTGAGGAGCCGGCAGGTTTTCTAATAAATCGCGCCGGGGCTAGAAGCGACGGCGAGTCAGGGCTGGGGCGCACACTGGAGAGGGAGCCCGAGGAAGCCGCGCTGCGGCTGGCGAGGAGCGAGAGAGATATCCTGAAAGCCAGGGGGCTGCAGCCTGTCCGCTTTGGTGCGGGGGAGCTAGCTTCAGGGTCAGCCGCTCCCTCCGCGCCCCGGAGCTGGGGAGTGCCAGGGCTGCGCCTGGACGCGCTAAGCGAGCAGCACAGCGCGGCAACCCCCGGGGGCCGCCTCGGTGTACTGGCTCGCCCAGTGGCCAGTCACTACAGCCCGCTTGGGCTCCCTGTTCCAGTCTGCGGGAGAGGGACTGACCCGGTTCGACCGTCCTGTCCCATTCCGTCGCGTCCCGTCCCTTCGCGTCCCTGTCAGTCCCAGCTCTCCCAGCTCGATCCTGCCCGCCATGGAGCCAGTCCTTCTGGCAGACGCTGAGCAGGCGCCCCATTTGCTCGCTAACTGCTCGGGCGCCAACGCGTCGGAGCCTGAGCCGGAGCTGGCTAGGGGCGGCCGCAGCGCCGCGTCCATCGCGTTGGCTGTGGCTATCACGGCTCTCTACTCGGCTGTGTGTGTGGTAGGACTGTTGGGCAACGTGCTGGTCATGTATGGGATCGTAAGGTGAGGCTGGGATCTGAGGCGAGGGCTGGGGGTGGGGGAGGAGGCATCCGGAGGCCTCCAGGGTGATGGACAGCGCCCAGGAGCCCCTGGTGTACAGTGTGTGTGTGTGTGTGTGTGTGTGTGTGTGTGTGTGTGTGTGTGTGTGTGTGTGTGTACCAAGTGCCTATGGGCACTTGGGCGCTATGCAGGAGAGGATAATCAGAGGCTGTCCCAGTGTGTCAGATTCAGGCTGTGTGCCGGCGCTGCTGCCGCCACTGCTGGGGCTTTGTTTGCGGGGCTGCTGCAGTTGGCCGGAACCGTGTGGGTGTTCCTGTGCGTCCATCCACATTGCAGAGCTGGTGTCTGGAATTTGACACAGGTGGCCACAGGTGCCCAGCCTGCCTACACTTAGCTCCCTTTGCGGGGGGCCAATCTGCCTGCCGGCAAGCCTGTCTCTTGACGTAAACTGAATTGAACTGCCATCCCCATCCCTGCTTCCTTGGACCTTCCTACGGGTGATCTCGGGTGTTCTGCTTGCCTGTATTTCTATAGTCTGTGTGCCCTCGCATGTACAGGTGTCTTCTTGTCCTGTTTCTTAGTGACCTCAGGTGCTCTGGGTCACTGGAGCTCAATATTTGTGTGCCCCTCTGCACTTGGAGAGAGAGCCCAGGTTTCCAGGTCACCTATGTAGATATAAGCGCTCTCATCTCTTTCCCAGGGGCCATTTGGCCAGGAATGTCTGAAAGTATTTGGTAATTATTCAGTCCTCACGTCACATGAGGTCTCCCCTACCCCCAGGTTCAGGGTTGGATTACTATTATTTTTTGAAGAAGGCCACGATGCAATGTTGGAGAACTGATAAGACATTGATAAGCTGGAAAGCAACCAGGTTGATGAAGGGATTGGTGACCACCCCAAAGAAAGATCATTTGAGGAAACTGGAGATTTTTAACCCAAAGAAGAGGAGATGTGGTGAGAGGAGGTAGATGAGGGATGCCTCATGAACATTATTTCCAAGTGTTTTAAAGAATGTCATGTGGAAAAGGAATTAGGGTTTTCCTTGAGACAGAAGTCTTGGGAAACCCTGGAAAAAGCCTTGAATTTGGAGGTAGAGGATCTGGGTTTGAATCTCAGCCTTGTTTTTGAGTACTTGGGTGACACTGGGCAAGTGACTCTGTCTTTCTGGGCCTCAGTTTCCTCCTCTGTAAAAAAACAAAACAAAACAAGGGTTGGACTAGATGATCTCTCAGGTGCCTTCCATCTCAAAATCTATAATCCTATGCCTAATTCTGCTTGGCCCAGAATACACAACTATTAGCAATTTAGACACTTTAGACATCCAGTCAGGCTTGATGTCAGGAAGAACTTCCCAGCAATGAAATCGACCCCTAAGTGGAAGGGGCTACCTTGGGAGCTGGTCTCATCTCCTCCACGGGAGATCTTTAGGGAGACCTGATGAGCAGATGATTGTTGAGGATGGGGATACCTGCCTGGGAGGATGGCCTTTGAGGTCTCTCCCTGATTCTGTGAACTTGTTTCACCTGTGGAAATCTTTGGTTTTCTGGGACAGGTTTACACCTGAAGGCAGCCCAAGAATCCCACAAAGAAAGGTCTAAACACCACCTCACCCATCTCTCATCTCCAGCCGGGGATAAGCCTTAGTCTAGTAGAATTCTTTTGAAAAGGGCAAAGAGCCTCTCATGTTTGCCTAGGGCGTCATAGGGCCCTGAGTGTAATTTCTCTAAGAAGTCCTGCAGAGCTAACTCCAGCCCTGTCAAGCAAAGGGAGACGGAGAATCACTTGTTTTAAGAGGGTGAAGGCAGCCCCCATTCTGTGGCTTCCTTGGGGGTTACATGCTTCCTGGCAGATGATGAGATGTTTTTTAAACTGTGCTTGGAAGAGCTGCTCTGTCTCCGGAGAGCAGTGCTTGAGAGGGCTTGTAAAGTGTTCTTTTCCCGATGACCTGCCTTTGACCTTCCCCCTCTGGGGAGTGCACTCCAGGAAGCAGGGAGACCCTTTTCTTCTCCCTCACATCCATTTCCCACCAGCTCTGTTCTCTTATATGATGGGTTTCTACTTCTTCCCCCTTACTGTGAGCTGGCCTTGGTACCCCACAGACATCACACCGCTGGTAGATTTCTGCTGAATGGCAAGGCAATAGTGTCTGCCTTATCTAATGGTCATTTATACCACTCTGCTTGTCCACTTATCGAGATTCCCTGAAAGAAGCAGGGGGGAGGGGGGAGAGAATTTGCAGCCACAGTAATTCATAATGCCCTTCAGTCACTGGAGACTTCCTGAGGTCCTAACTCCAAGCCTATTGCCTCTTATTTTAGACACAATTCTGGCAAGCTTAATTAATTTGTGTGGACTGAAAATTCAGGTAGGAGCAAGACTCTTGGAGGCAGGTACTTTGACAAGGCACCTCATAGCTTGAGAGACAGGAGAAGAGACAAAAAAATTGTTTTTAAAAACCAGTCCTGACAACTCAAAAAGCAAAATAATCTAGGACCAGGGGTAGAGAACCTTCGGTCTTAAGGCCACATGTGGCCTTCTAGGTCCTTGGGTGTGGCCTCTTGACTGAGTCCAAATCTTACAGAACAAATCCTTTTATTAAGGGGATGTTCTGTGAAGTTTGGATTCAGTGAAAAGGCTGCACTTGAGGATGTAGAGGTCCACCTGTGGCCTCAAGGCTGCAGGTTCCTCACCCCTGGTCTAGGATCATTCAGTGTGGTAGCCAACAGCATGAAATCATTCCTTCTGCCTCGATATCACTTTAGTATAGTCTAGAATAATGAATACTTAAAATGCTTATGACCAAGACCCAGAGTCATTAAGAAAACTGTGGTTGATATGCTTTTTTTGAGAAGGCATTTTTAGGAAGGTTTCTGTGTTGTTGTTCAATCATGTCCAGCTCTTTGTGACTCCATGGACCATACTGTGTATGGGATTCTCTTGGTAAAGATACTGGAGTAGTTTGCCATTTCCTTCTCCAGTGGATTAAGGCAAATACAAGTTAAATGACTCGACCAGCATCACACAGCTATTAAGTGTCTGAGGCCGGATTTGAACTCAGGTCTTCCTGACTCCAGGCTTAGCACTCTGTCCCCTGAGCCACCTATCTGCCTCCTTGAATGTTTCCATCCCAAATGATTCTAATAAAAAAAATTTTGGCATTGAAAAGGTGAAGCTTTGATATTCTAATGCCATTTCAGAGGCCTGGGTTCAATTCCTGTCTCATAGAGGCACCTTTTGTGAAGGAGAATGGTATCATGAATTGGACATTGGACTTGGAGTCAGGGAGACCTGGGTTCAAATACTCCCTGAGACACTTACCAGCTGTGTGACTCTGAGCAAGTCACTCAACTTCTGTTTGCCTCAGTTTCCTCATCTGTAAAATGATGGGGTTGGACTGAGCCACTTTCTAAGGTTCCTTCTGACTCAAGATCTATGATTCTGTAAGTCATCTTATTTCTCTGGTCTTCAGCTTCCTTATCTGAAATATGAAGGGGTTGAACTGGATGGTTTTTAGATCCTTTCTAAGGCTATGCTGCACAGAGCACCAGGGAACGCCTTCCACAATGGAGATTGCAGCCCTTAGGAGTCCATTTGAGGGGGGCATAGAGATTGAGTGACTTGCCCAGTGTCACACAGCTAAGTAAGTGTCAGAGATAGGATTTGAATGCAGCACTATATGAATAAGTCCTTCACCCTATCCACACCGCCACATTGCCTCTAGATGCTACTGATGCCTGATAAAGAGGCATCACTATGCAAAGGAGTCATATTACACAGGCATTTAACTTAAGTCAGCTAACTACTACCACTAAGCAAAGAAAAAGTGAAAAATAGTAATAATGTGAGAAATTTCACCCTTCACCTGCCATTTCAGTAGATGAGCATCTGCCCCAGAATGAGCCGAGCTGGAGATGGGAGAGGTGAATTTGCTGTTTCTTCAGCTGGTCCCAGTTCTTTCCATCCCTCCTCTCCAAGGATGGGTGTCTCCTTTGTGCTGAATGGGATTCTAGAGCCTCACCTTCATCACACCTACTCCCAGTCTATTCATTCTGCTTAGGTGGTTGAAGTTAATGAGAGGGATGGCATCCCTTGGCCTTCCCAGAATTCCTGGTTAGCTAGAAGGCCCCTGCCATGGATGCTCTTCCTCTTGCCTCTAGGTGAGAGAGAGAAGAAACAGTTTCATGGGGTCCATTAACTCTTTAATATTATCACATTGTGGAAAACCCTTCCAAGACAACCAGCAGTTTTCCAGCTAGCTAAGTCATTACTTATTTCTGTTTTCCTTCCATTTGAAAAATAAGCTTTAGTTCCTAATTCTCTCTGGATCAATAGCTTAGCTGGGTGTTGTGAAAAATAAAATTTACATTCAGTTGTTTCCACAGCAACCATCTCAGCTCCTTCTGCTTCCTGCCACTGACTGCTTTTAAAAAGACTCTGACTGCGGAGCGCTGCACATACTGTCAGCCTGGGTTGATGGGTTGGTTAGTTCTGCTGAACCGTTATTTTCCTCCTTTTTTTTTTGCCATTAATTAATTAATGTATGCATGTATGTTACAAGGGATAGATTCCTGAGTTGTGTGTGTGTGCAGGGGAGGGAGTGATGTATTCAGAAATGGAGGTGACATGGTACAAAAACTACCAATAAAAATGATAAAAAAAATGATCCTCTCTCCAGCTGCAACTGTTTAAAGACACTGAACTTTATGGGTAATTTAAGGGATTTTCAAATGAGCTGACTTTAGAACCTCACCTCCGCAGTAAGATATGACTCTGCTGTAATTGATAATTAGCACATCTTCCCATTCTCCTTAAACATGGTACAACCACCCACCCACCCAGAGCCAGAGATGGGAAAAACCCTATGACTCTTGCTGAAGGAAGAGATTCATTCTCCCACAACTATCTGAGGTGTTGGGGTGACCTTGTTTGAGTCAACTAGGCACCCATGTATGCCTCTCTTCCCTTCAGGAGGCCAGGCTACATACTATTGATAATATAGCCAT